GTTCCAGAATACCTAAGTAGAAGAGTTACATGTAAACCTTCCCAAAGCTGCACCAGCAATTCATTTTGAGATAACATTCTTAGACTAAATTCATTGTCAATGATGCCTGATAAAATTCAACAAGAAAAATCAGTTAATTAAAACTTTGCTTTTTAAAATTATGTTTTCTTGATTATGCTATTACAGCTGCCCTGACCTTCCCCCCACCGTTGGCCCCCTCCACCAAGCACCCTCTACTCCCTCAGGCAATCCCTGACCCCCATTGTTCATGTCTGGGGGTCATGTGTGTAAGTTCTTGGCTACTCCATTTCCTATACTGCACTTTATATCCCCATGGCTAGTCTGTAATTACCTATTTGTACTTAATCCCCTCACCTCTTCACCCATTTCCCCAAACCCCCTTCCCATATGGCAAATATCAAAACGCTCTCCATATCCATGATTCTGTCTCTGTTCTTCTTGTTTGCCTAGTTTTTCAAATTCAACTGTTCATAGGTGTTTATTGACATTTCATTGTTCATAGTTTTGATCTTCTTTTCCTTAAATAAGTCCCTTTAACATTTCATATAATAATGGGTTGGTGATGATGAACTCCTTTAGTTTTTTCTTGTCTGGGAAGCTCTTCATTTGCCCTTCAGTTCTAAATGATAGCTTTGGTGGGTAGAGAAATCTTGGCTGTAGATCCCTGCTTTTCATGACTTTGAGTATTTCCTGCCAATCCCTTCCAGCATTCAAAACTTTTGAGAAAATCAGCTGACAATCTTACAGAATTCCCCTGTAGGTAAATATCTGCTTTTCTCTTGCTGATTTTAAAATTTTCTCTTTATCTTCCCCTGGCTGGTGTGGCTCAGTGGACTGAGTGCTGGCCTATGAAACAAAAGGTTGCCGGTTTGATTCCCAGTCAGGGTACACGCCTGGGTTGTGGGCCAGGTTCCCAGCTGGGAGCATGCTAGAGGCATCTGATCAATGCTTCTTGCACATCGATGTTTTTCTCCCTTTATTTCGCCCTCCTTTCCCCCTCTCTAAAAAAATACATAAAATCTTTTTTAAAAAAGATTCCCTCTTATCTTTAACCTTTGGCATTTTAGTTATGTCATCTCTTGAAGTGGGTCTCTTTGCAACCATCTTGTTTGGGACTCTCTGTGCTTCCTGAACTTGCATGTCTATTCCTTCACCAAACTAGAATAATGAAAGGTAACATTTCTTTCATTATTCTTTCAAAGAGATTCCATATTTCTTGTTGTCATCTCCTTCTGCTACCCCAATGATGTGAATGTTGGACCTCTTGAAGTTGTCCCAGAGGCTGCTTATACTATCCTCATTTTTTTTGGATTCTCTTTTCTTTATGTTGTTCTGATTGGTTGTTTTTTGCTTCCTTGTGTTCCAAATCACTGATTTGAATTCTTGGCTCCATCCACTCTACTGTAGTTTCCCTGTAAATTTTTCTTATTTCACTTAGTGTAACCTTCATTTCTGCCTTGGTCTTTTATGCTGCTGACATATCCAATGAGTTCCTTGAGCCTCCTTATAACCAGTGTTTTGACCTCTGCATCTGATAGATTTTGTATCTCCATTTCATTTAGCTTCTTCTGGAGTTTTGATCTGTTCTTTCATTTGGGCCATGTTTCTTTGTCTTCTCATTTTGGCAGCCTCCCTGTGTTTGTTTCTATGTATTGGGTACAGCTGCTTTGACTCTGCGACTTGCTAGTGTGGCCTCATGTAGTAGGTGTCCTGTAGGGTCAAGTGGCACAGCCTTCCCCATCACCCAAGCCGGGTACTCGAGGTACGCCCTTCGTTTGTGCTGACTACACCCTCCTCTTGTAGTTGAGCCTTGACTGCTGTTGGCAGATCAATGGGAAAGATTTACCCAGGCCAGTTAGCTGCAAGACTGGCTGAAATCACTGACAACCAACTTCCATCCTCTGTGGAGGATCAGCTGTGCAGGGACAGGGTGGTGGTGCTCTGATGTGGTCTGTAGCTGTCAACTTGGTGCGCTTGGCCAGGGGTTTCCCAGGTAGTGCAGGCCAAGGTCAGCCTCCACCTGTCTTTTGCCGAGGGCCTTCCTGTGTGAGCTATAAAACAATCTGCAGGTGGGTGCTACTTGTGCTGGGCTTGGAGATTTCCAGGTGAAGTCTACCTGTGAATTTAGGCTGGCTGATGCTAGTGCTGGGCCCAGGCTCACTGAGGCCAGCTGTTGCTTGTTTGAAAGGATTTAAGAAGTTGTGCAGGATGAGTCAAGATCAGCCATTTCATATGAAAAAGCAGCTTGAGGGGGTCTGAAAGTTGGGTGGGGTAGAGTCTCCGGGGATCTCCAAGGCCAGGCAAACAGTGTTAGCCAGGCTGATGGAATCTGATATTGCACCAGAGGGTTTAGAAAAAGTACAATGGTCTCTGTTCACCTTGATGCTAGACACTTCAATTCCTCCCTGTATGCCACTGATGCCTTTCAAGCTGCTACCCTGGTGCTAAAGTTCAGAGGGAATAAGTCTGAGTAGGTGAGTCTGTGTGGTGTGTGGGTTCTTTAAGAAGAACTGGTTGGGGCTCTAGCAGTTTCTTCTACCGACTCAATCCCCACTGTTTTTTGCAGCCAGAAGTTGAGGACTTATCCTCCTGGCACTGGAACCCTGGGCTGTGGGGCTTGATGTGGGTCCAAGGAGTCCTTGTTCCTGAAATATCCCTCCTGAATTTTTATCCACAACATGTGGATGTGGGACCAACCCGTTCTGTGTCTGCACCCCTCCTACCAGTCTAGTTTCTTTAATTGGTAGCTGCCAGACTTCCAAACAACTCGATTTCTGACGGTTCTGAGTGATGGCTGCCCTGTATTTTAGTTGTAATTTTGATGTGGTCATGCGAGGAGGCGAGCCATGTCTGCCTATGCCACCATCTTGACTGGAAGTAAAACTTAATTTTAAAAGTCAACAAATATTTCCTAGGTGGTTACACTCAGTCACTGTAGAGGTACCAAGAATAAAGTAGTAATGTGTTGGGGACCATCATGCCTGGTTTCAGGGGCTGTAGCTTTGCCAACAGGCAAGAGGACCCCAAGGCTGGAGCTAAGCAAGGAGGACCTGGGAAAATAGGCCACTGAAGAGACAAAACCTGTACCCCTGGTAGGGGCGCAGCCCCTTCCTCCCTCACATCACTCTGCTTGGCCCCAGAGGATGACTAGTTAGTCAATGATGGGTGAGACCCCTCGATGGTGGGTGTAACCTAAGACAGGCACAGTTACATAGGGGCCATCAGGGAAAAACTTGGGGGACACGGAGAAAAGGCAAAAGACCTTCACCCCTCAGCTTTGATATGGCCGGAGTCCTCATTCTATCTGAAAGAAGTCTCCTTATCTTTTGGCTGCTCTGCTCTGCACGCCTGACTCAGGCATAAAACAATACTAGAGGCAACCCTAAACTGGATTGGGCGGTTCCCAGGGGGAAATCTAGCCTAAAAGTAAATTTCTTGAAGCATGCTTTGTTTTTCCCTCAACGCTATGATAACTGGCTACTGGGAAGGAAATTTACATTATTCATAAACCCTGCCCCTAAACCATTTGGCATTCTTTTGTTTACTCCTCTCGGGAACCATGTAAATCGGTGTGTTCTGCCCTTTGTCTTCCTCATACATAACCTATTCTCTGTAAATATTAACATACTGACAGAAAGAGATTACCTGTACCCACTGATAACCCTTTCAATGAAAGCCACTGGACACAGGGGCTCAGGGCATTCTCCACTAAAGGGAATCACCACCTCCTTTCCCTGGCAGACCAAGAAGTGTGTGGAACGACTTATTTCCCCATCTGTGGCAACCCGGAGCAACTCTGCAGGACAGAGCCCTTCCCCCTCAGAAATGAAAATATAAAAATGTAGCTCTTGCTCTTGTCTAATAAACAGGCAACTACAATAAAATCTTACAAATGCTCAGATGCAGGCAAATAACAAGTAACCATAGCCCCCTGTATAAGTCAGCTACACCAGTAGAAACACAATCAAGGGGAAGCTTAGCTTTAAGGTCTCTTTAAGGTCTCAGGTAACAGCCTGTTCAGAAGGGGGTAAGAAAAAATGTAAGAGGTTGACATAAAAATTTAATGCCATTCATGTGAAAAAAAACACACTAAAATTATCTTCACAGGAAAAAAATTCTGAAGAGCATGAAGAGAAACTTTACCAGTAACACCTGACAACGAGTGAGCAAGCGGTAACTGACTTTGTAGAGCAGAAAAAGGTAAAATCTAAGCTGGCTGTGTGGAAGCCCAAGAGTCTGTTTGGTGACAGTGAAACCAAGAGAAACTCATGAAACAGATAAAATGCACATCCAAAAATAGACAAGTGAATAGGTGGTAAAACAAAAAGTTCACAGCTGAAGTTCTGTGTAAGAGACAGATTAGAATTACAGATCTCCTCTCTCACTCATAAAGACTATCCTGTCCCTTCCTGATACTGGACTCAATGACAACAGACATAACAAAAGGGGAGAAGCGATGTAGGGGATTTAAAAAAAATAGAAAAACAGGTAAAGTAAATAAAATCCTACTTCTGGTCCTTTCCTTCCCCTTTGGCAGTCAAAATGCTGGAAGCTAGATTTATACCCTTCTTCAAGCAAGACTGAAATATCTGACACACATACCACACTCCTCCTCCACCAGCCCCAAAGGGCCTATAGATCTTTACAATGGAAGATTCACCAATGAGGTGGACTTATCAAATCCCCCTATATTAAAGCTTACAGTTTATAAGCCCCGCATGTATGATTAACTGCCAATCAGTTGTTTAAGCAGGATGACCACTGTTTTTTATTTTAAACCTCATTTGACTTTTTAAAACCGTATACTGTGATAAAAATTAAAAAATAGGCATAGATTGAAAAGAAAGCAAAAGTACCTAAGCAAAGGATTTTATTTTTGTAATTTTTATATACAAGATAAATGATTAGAAACAGAATTTAAGTCATCTCAATCCTAATAAAAGTGCATGCCAAAAGAGAATACCTAAAAAGTACTCAACCTGTATATCCATTAACATAGATGGCAACTCCACTAAAAATTGTAGATGAAGTTCCATCCTTCTGCATAGCAGCATCTGATCGAAACTGTTCCTCCAATTTCTGGACCTTGGCAGCCATATACCCGCCCTAGAATTAAGGAAAAGGTAAACACCAATCACAAAAGTTGTATTTTCTAACCACCCTTTTTAAAGAAACTTCTATTTTTAAATAAATAAATAAATAAACAAATGGAGCTTATTCTGTGCAGTAACCAAGGCATAATATGACAAAGGTAATTATAAACATGAATCAGAGGCAAAGCAATAAAACAGGGAAGTCAAAAGAGATTTTGCCCTCTATTGACTCAATTTTAATATTTAACTTTCTTATAAGTTATTTTAAAAAGTCAAAAATAGTTAACTTTAATGCCACAAATATTGTTCTTATCTATAAAATCAAGCAAAAGTTTAAATCAATTAAAATTTGACAAGTGGTCAATAGGAGTATATTTTAGACTGGCTTTCACAATGTTCTGTACATAGGAAGCTTAAAATTAATAACTTCAAGTACAATGAAGCAGTGCGACAAGCCAGTACAGTTCTCCATACATGTAGGTAAGAATACAACAAACAATTCAGTGGTTAAATTCTAGATATAATCAATCTATTTGACAGTAGCACTAATTTTCATTAGATAACAGAAACCTCAAAAAGAATGTAAAACATTGTAATTTTTCGGCAAACCTTTACAAATCTAGCTACACTGAATTCAGCTACACTTTACCTGAATATTGAAATAATTAGGCTTAACTGATTTAAATTACCAATTGTATTAATTGATTTATCTAGATTGATAAAGAATTATCAATTAGTGATTCAAAGAAAACTGTAGTTATGTGGAGTGGTATACATTTTTCCAAAATAGAAATGACTTCATTGCTTTTTATTATTCAAGTATTATATGCTTACTGTAAACACGTTTTTGAAAAATATAAAGATGAAACTCTAAATTGGCTATGAGCCCATTCATTGTTAACATTTTGGGATCTTGTTTTCAAAGTTTATGTCTACGCCTCTGAGCATACCAGTTTTACAAAACCAGTTTTGATCAGAGTCTTACAAAATAAGGATCTCCTATATTATATATGAGATCCTATTTTTTATTTTGTGTGTGTGTGTGTGTGTGTGTTCCTTTATAATACAATACCCTTTAAGTCAAGGCCACCTGCCAGGTTAAGAATACAAAGCTAAATAGTGGTTGCAGTGTTCTACTATATGAAGATTATTTATTTATCCAATTCCCAGTTATTGGATACCTATGTTTTCCTGTTCCTCAATATTATTAGCAATGCTGCAATTAAACTATCATACAATAAATTTTGTGCACTAGAACATTTACTTCTCCTATAAAGTTCCTCCAAGTTTAGAGGTTAAACTTTGAACTTTCACTACACTGTTAAAACTCAGAATTGGTATCTGAAGTGATTTGCAACTTAGAAAATGCCTTAAGTCACATTATAAACTATAAGCAAGATGAAAAATACCTGGACAGTTCAACATAATTATTTTTATTTTTTTAAAACACACCCATTTTTCCCAGCCATCATTTTCAGCTCGCCTCCTCCATCCACCTCGTCTCATGGTGGAGACTCTGTATTGGGGGGAAAAAATATATCAGTTTTATGACATAACGTACTAATTGATATTTTATTACAGTATCAAAAAATGAGAAATTAAAATACAAATGGTTAGGTGGAAGAAGGTATTGGGAAGATAAATGGGATGGACCAAGACTTGACCTGGGGTGGTGAACACACAATACAGTGTACAGACGATGTGTTGTAGAATTATGTACCTGAAACCTGTATAATTTTGTTGACCAGTGTCTTCCCAACTAATTACCAAAATTCTGTGACACACCAAAAAATATATTTTTTGCTGATCTGACAAAAAATAGGTATAATTTTGATTCATTAACAATGGATGGCTATTGGTGTGTAGGCTGTCATTTTTTATTTGACAATCTAAGGGAAAAGAGGTCAGTTCCCTGACTAAATAGTCACGTACTACATGTTTTAATTAGTAATTAGTTTATGTGTGCCATAAGACGAAAAAGGCTGAAAATAACTGATGGAGATATGACGCAGAAAGATTATCACTGATGATTTAACTAGGAAATCTGGAATTTTCCTTAAGGCAACAAACACTTGCCCACCTGACCGACACTGACCAACTATAAAACTATCAGAATAACCAAATGATAGCTCATCTCAAGTGTCAGCTGGCTCAGTGGCTAGTACGGAATGAGTTATAAGTCCTTTGACTTATGTAAGTCATGTTGAGACATGACTTGATACATGGCTACACCTTGAGAGATGACTGCCTTAACCTTTATAAACTAACAGGATTTCCATTTAGGCATTTTTTTCTTCTACTGTGTGTGTGCGCACACGCGTGTGTGTATCAAATGGTTACCATGTAGCACTGGAGAAGCCTTATTCATTATCCAAGTCAAATCAGATTTGATACAATTTATACGTATTTATTATTGAATAGTACTTTAGAAAACGACAGCAGATATTTTCTTTCAAATACTTCTATTCTTGATATAATGTGGGATGTATAGTTTCTTTTTGCTGCCGTTTATATTATGAATTTTTACTGTCTACTTTTAAAAGATACTTAAAGATATGCAGAGATATGCTCAAAGAGTTACATCCAACAAAGTCAAGTACCATGTACAAAGAGGTTTGCAGACAGGAGGCAACGTGATTAACCCTGGATAGGTGTTGTGGCGCTGAAGGAGAGAAGAGTTTCATTTTTTCACCTTTGTCAAAGGTAGGAGGCATGGTTACCCAATGTTCATGATGAGTCCCAAAATTACCGTATTTGCTCTGCTAAATACTTGTTTTCAAAAGGTTCACTTTGTCCAATTCCTCAAGACTTCTCCCTCACCTTGGAATGAGCCTGGGAAATATGTTAACACATAACTCTTGACCTCATATAAACTGAATCCATATATCTGCTGTAAGAAGTGAAAAGATTTTGGGAGTTCTGGCCATTTTGTTAGGGAGGCATATTCACAAAACTTAAATGTAACAATTAATCTAATGAGGCACATTTAAAACTACAGTATGTTTTTAGTTTAATTCATTTGCCCTATCATTTAAGAACCTTATTTAAGATATATTGGCTATACACCAAGAACAATATGAAAATCCATACTGATGTGTTAATGAGGGTACACAAATATAAAACAAAGTTGTAATAAATAAACAAACCAAGAAACAGACTTTAAAGGTTCTTTCCCCATTCCAGATAATAAAGCTATCCCAGACAAGTGTTTGAAGCTTTGAAAAGTAAAAGGAATGAATGACTTAAAATTGTAATTTCACTATTTCACTAATTTGACCCATATATAGCAAACCAATTGGTCCAGGATTCAAATATTAAGACCCCCAAAAGGGAAAAAGGAAACAAGAAATGTATTTCATTTTATACTTTCAAATTCTATTTGACAAAAACTCTGTAACAAATAGTAAACTAGACAATTTTTATCACACTTCCTGCTGAGAAAGAGGAAAGCTACACAAAACATTTGGAAAAAAAATGTGTGGCATCCGGTCAAGATTGAGGCATAGGTAATAAATACAGTTCTCACCTCCTCACATAACCACAGCAAAAATTACAACTAAACTACAAAACAACTCTCACTCAAACCAAAAGAAAATCGAGCTGTATGGAAGTCAAGAAATTAATAAGGAAGTCACATTCATTCAGACAGGTGGGAGGGACAGAGATGCAGAGATTTGAAACAGGCAAATCCCACACTCATGTGTGGTGAATAAAAAATCAGGAGGGATATCTTGGGAGCAAGGGATCTCAGCCCCACACCAGACCACCCAGTCCAGGGTTCCAGTGCCAGAAGATTAGTCCCCGTAACTTCTAGCTATAACCATCAGTGGACGTTGGCGGTGGAAGGAACTGCGGGATTCTCAGGAATCTATGCCTAAAGGGCCCAAAATGGACTTAGGACTTAAGTAGACACACTCCCTCTGAGTTCCAGCACCAAACAGCAGATTAAAGGGCACCAGTGGCATACAGGGGAAGAACTGAAGTGTCTGGCATCAGGTCAGGTGCCAGGGACAGCATCCTCCTGGACAAAAACCCAGAACCAGGCAGTGGTCCTTGTTTCTATTGAGCCCTCCCCCACACAAAGCCAAAGAGCTGAGGCACCATATCTGAGACTTCATCAACCTGGTTCACTTGGGTTACCCCACCATGGCAATCACCTAAGGTTCTACCCCATCCAACTTATGGTGTGCTTTTTTACAGTAGGCCATGTTACTAAGACAGGGAGTCAAAACAGCTCTACCTAATACATAGAAACAAACACAGGGAGGCTGCCAAAGTGAGGAGACAAAAACATATGGACCAAATGAAAGAACAGAATGAAACTTTTTCTGGAGACCTGAAACAAAATAGAAAGAAGCAATCTATCAGATGCAGAATTCAAAACACTGGTTATCAGGAGGCTCAAGGAACTCACTGGGTACTTCAATGGCATAAAAAAGAACACAGGCAGAAATGGAGGTTACACTAAGTGAAATAATGAAAAATGTACAGGGAACCACCATTAGAGTGGATGCCAGAATCAAATCAATGATTTGGAACATAAGGAAGAAATAAACATTCAATCAGAACAGTGAAAAGGAAAAAGAATTTTAAAAAAATGAGGATAGGCTAAGGAACCTCTGGGACGACTTCAAATGTATCAACATTTGAATGATAGGGGTGCTGGAAGAAGAGAAAGAAAAATAAATTGAAAACTTTTTAGAAAAAATAATGAAAGAAAACTTCCCCAATTTGAAGGAAACAGACATACAAGTCCAGGAAGCACAGTGAGTCCCAAACAAGATGGACCCAAAGAGGACCACATCAAGACACACCATAATTAAAATGCCAAAGGTTAAAGATAAAGAGAGAATCTTAAAAGCAGCAAGAGAAAAGCACATAATTATCTACAGAGAAGTTCCCATAAGACTGTCAGCTGATTTCTCAAAAGAAACTTTGCAGGCAAGAAGGGAACGGCAAGAAGTATTCAAAGTGATGAATCGCAAGGACCTACAACCTATATTACTCTCTCCAACAAAGTTATCATTTAGAATGGAAGGGCAGATAAAGTGCTTCCCAGACAAGATAAAGCTAAAGGAGTTCATCATCACCAAGCCATTATTACATGAAATGTTAAAGGAACTTATTATTTAAGGAAAAGAAGATCAAAAGTATTAACATTAAAATGGCAATCAATTCACAACTATCAGCAACTTAATCTAAAAAACAAATCAGGCAAACAAGCAGAACAGAAACAGAGTCATAGATATGGAGATCATTTGCAGGCTTATCAGTTGGGAGGGGGAAATGGAAGGGAAAAGTGCAAGGATTAAGTAGTACAAATTGGTAGGTACAGAACAGACAGGAGGATGTTAAGAACAGTATAAGAAAGGGAGTAGCCAAAGAACTTATATGCATGACCCATGGACATGAACTAAGGTGACCTGGAGGGAATGGGAGGTACCAGGTGGAGGGGGACAAAGGGGAAAAAACCGGGACAACTGTAATAGCATAATCAATAAAATATATTAAAAATAAATAGCCATTAATCTTGTATATGATGGAAAGTCAATAAATTCTTGTTGAATAAGGAAAATAAATTTACATATAATTCATGGTAGCAAATTTTATGTTCCTAGTATAAAGTACCCCAACATATCAATATTCAAAACTCTGCCTTGCTAAATATTTAATCTTATCTACTTTTTATTTCTCATATTTTAAAACAGCTTTCCAAAAATTCACAATAGAACCCTTTGCTGTTTACTAGAAAGCAACAAAATAGACACTCCCTTCTCATAAAGTTGCACAGACAAGATTAGCCAATGACACACACACACTTTTAGGGCTGACAAAAACCACACAACAGGTAGGATTAAGTATAAATCATTTAAAGGGTTCTAAAGACTATGGTGCTTCCCTGGTAGTGTGAAATTACGAAGTAGCTCACATAAAACCATATTCTTTGAAACTGGTATGTCATAAATAAAATAAAGACTTATGTTTCTGCTAACCAGTAAGGACCTCTGAAAAAGGGGCTTTGCCAATACCTCTGAAGCCTTATCCAGGGGAAAAGTTCACTAGTCTAAATGACTGATTTGCTTCTTCAAATAGCACTCTCCCTAGGATGGAGGAGGGCAGCAGGTCAGGTTATCACATCTTGACAGAAACAGACCTCAGAAATAAAATTGTGTTCTCATCCTCTCCATTCCCCACAACCTTCTGAATTATAATGTGCCACCTTGACTAACCCCACTCACTAAGAGAATTGGGCAAGCCATCCAATTACCAAGCCAGATTTGTAAATAAAAATTGCCTTCTTGTTTTCAGATAAAATTCTTGCAGACTGTGTTCCCAATCTAGTTCCACAGTGCTTGATGGCGTTAACAAAATAATAAACATTTCTGAAACTGTAGTGCACAACCTAAAATAACCTACCAACTTCTTATCCAGCAGCGTTACTACAGAGGCCAACTACTGGGTTTCATTAATTTAAAAAAAGGATGGAAAATAAATTCATGTATGGAAAAGTACCCT